CCACATTTCCAAGTTGTCAAATTCCCCTCTTCCTATATTGCAAATTCCAAAATCCCCAATTCCCACGATCCCAAATTCTCAAATTCCCCTCTTCCTATACTGCAAATTCCTAAATCCCTAATTCCCACGTCCTCAAATTCTAAAATCCCCCTCTTGCTATATTGCAAATTCCTAACTCCCTGTTTCTCACGTCCCCAAACTGTAAAATCCCCCTCTTCCTATATTGCAAATTCTTAAACCCCCAATTCCCACATCTCCAAGTTGTTAAATTCCCCTCTTCCTATATTGCAAATTCCTGAATCCCTAATTCCACATCCACAAATTCTCAAACTTCCCTCTTCCTATATTGCAAATTTCTAAACCCCTAATTCCCACATTTCCAAATTCTCAAATTTCCCTCCTCTTATATTGCCAATTGCTAAATACCGAATTCCTACATCTCCAAATCCCCAAATCCCATATTTTAATAATTATTAAACTTAGTAGTAGTCGCACGCGTCCCGTGAGTTGGCGCGCGACCCAGCACCTGCACCCAGCTCCCACACGCCAACTTACCAGGCACAGTCCGCAATTACCCAGCGTCAAAAGACCAATTTACAAATTTTCCGCGCGCAGCCACGCGTGATCCGCGTACCCAGCGTATTTTATCATATTTTTCTGTTTTTTAATAACACTCATTCCATGGGAATAACATCGTCAGTCTTTTTTGCTGAAAAGAGTGGAGAGCAGGAAAAGCAGTCGGGGTTGTTGCCCGGAAAAGTTTCGCAACAACGTTGAATGGGTGTTGGGCGCATTGTTATTCGGCTAACCCTGTCGCAACTTTCCATCCTGCCGCTAACGAAAGGCTTGAGAGAAGAAAGGGTTGGTATGGAAAAAAAAACGTGGAGAACGCTGTGAAAAAAAAGGAGGCACGAAGAAGAGAAACGAAGGGAGCAAGGAAGATAGATTTGTTCGGGCTTGTTCGACCATGATGATTTGAAACGCTCGCGAGTTCCATGCGCAATGCCCGATCGATATAGCAGTTCTCCACGCGACACCGGATGCGATCCCTGTTATCATCGTCGACGTTCTACCCCGTCTCGTCTTTTGCCCTTTTCAACCCTCTTGTTGTTGCTGTTCTTCGGAGATAACACCGCCCATGATTTTCTGGTGTCGCTGAAAATAATCTGTCGGGACGATCAATCGTTCGCACGCTACGAATGCAGTCGGTTGGGGGCTGACAAGATGGCAGTTGCCTCTGATCCGATATAACGGATGGGATTTTTTGGCTGTTTCGGGGGACAATAGAAATATTTGTTGGATAGGATTTTTTGGTAATTTCAGGAGGTTTTTAAATTGGAGTGTAGGGGGATTTAGAAATTTGGGAGTTTGAGAACTTAAAGAAGTGGGAACTAGGGAATTTAGGAATTCAGGTATATGGGAACTAGGGAATTTGAGAATTTGGGTATATATCGCCTAGGGAATTTTGAAATTTAGCTATATGAGGACTGGGGAGTTTTTGAATTTACCTAATGTGATCTAGGGAATTGTTGAATGTTTAATTTGAACTAGGGAATTTTTGAATTTCGAAAAATAAAACAGTGGAATATGAAAATTGGCAAACATGCAATATAAAAAAATGTGAAAATTAAAAATTATTGTAATCAGAGAAAATTTGTGAAATTAAGATTGTAGGGCAGTGTAAAGCACGCCGTAGGGAATATCCGGCAAAGTTAATTTCCGCAAGATTCTAATTCGTTAAAGAACGAATGACCGAAGTAGAGAGAAATCCGATTTCCATATCTCGAATTGTTCCAACAATTTATTTTCGAAGTCCAATCTTGCTGCACTCGATTATCATTCATAACAGCGAAACGGGCCAGGAGAATTAAAGCGAAATGAAACTCGGAAGGAGGACGAAAGATGCGGGGAACAATTTAAAAGTTCAATAAAATCGTAAACAACGGGTAAGGCGAGGTAAAATAATTTGCTCGCCAACGCAAAAAAAAAGTGACAGTGGAGGGAAATATAGCGGGCAAACGGATAGAAAAACGTGGAAAATACGTGAATAAATATTTTCAACCTGGTGTTTGCGCATTATGGAAGGAAAATATATTCGTTCGTAAATATTTTCGCTTTTCGGGAATAACAAAGTGTTTTATTGAGATCCAACGGATTTATATTTTTCGCATTTTTTTAGTACACAATTTTATCAGTTTTTGGTTTTTGAAATTTCAAATTTTTAAACTTTGAAATTCGGGAATTACTAAATTTGTATGGTGGCGGATATTCAGATAAATTCCTAAATCTCTACGTTCTTTTCATTGCTAAAACCATGAAGTCTATTTTGATATTTTCACACTCCCAAATTCCCTGCTACCTAAATTCTCAAATCTCCAAATTCCTAAATCCTCAAATTCGTATATTTTGCCACCTCCAAATTTCCAACTACCTAAATCCCCAAATTCTCAAATCTTCAAATTTCTAAACCACCAAATTCCCATATTTTCACACTCCCAAATTCCCAGCTACCTAAATTCCCAAATTCTCAAATCTTCAAATTCCTAAACCCCCAAATTCCCATATTTTCCCACTCCCAAATTCCCAGCTACCTAAATCCCCGAATTCTCAAATCTCCAAATTCTTAAACCCCCAAATTCCCATATTTTCCCACTCCCAAATTCCCAGCTACCTAAATTCCCAAATTCTCAAATCTCCAAATTCTTAAACCTCCAAATTCCCAAAATACCTAAATTCCGTTTCCACTTATTTCACAAAAGAAGGAAATTATTTTTAAATCCCTCAACGTTTAAATGGGAGAGAAAACGGAGAGTCCGATATCTGGGACATCTTTTATTCAAAGCTGAAGCAAGCAATCGATCTGGGTTAAGTTTAATTGGTACGCTGATCAATTAAAAAGCAGTTGATTGGTGATTAATAATGTATATATAAATATGTGGATTGCACGACATGCATCGGTATCAAAGCATCCTTAAATTGAGAATGAAGCTCCTGCCAATAGAACGTCCAGATGTTATTTGTTATAATAATGGAATTTTTATGAGGCGAATTCTTTGTGAGGATTTGCAGAGATGGAATGTTTTATCATTTTATAATAAATATGGAGTATTAAATTCTTTATGATCGTATTTTACATTTGTGGATTAAATGTTTTATAAATTGTTATTTTATATTTAAGAGATGTAATTATTCGAAGAGTTAAGTAGTGTTTAACTTTATTTTATATTTAAAATCAGTTTAATTTTAATTATTGTTAACGGAGTAGGTTTAGTGAACACTTACCTCATTGAGGTTATGTGAAGAGGATGAACTTCCATTTTGTTTTGTAGTCCCGTAGTTTGATATTGTGTCCGCCTGCAAAGAATGAAAATATAATTAATATTGAGGGGTATACTGTACTTCTTGGAGTCGAGGGTGATTATAAGCATTAAGCTGGTCTACCAAGTATGATAGATATAAAATGGCGCTTGTGATACATTAAATTCAAGCTTGAAAAGGAAAGAGGCTGCATACCGATGTCAACCCATGAGCTGGCGCCTGAAGCTATAAGCTTCTTAGGTTACCTAATTCCTATAGTTCCTAGAATCACCACAGTTGCAGACCCTCAGATTCCCTATATATTCTTAGTTTCAGTTTCCAGTGCCACTAAGTTCACTAGGATCTATGTCCCTTGGATTTCTAGGACCCACATCCACACATTCAACATATTCCCTGTTAACTATAAGTTAGGATACCTAGTTCCCATGGTCCCCAGAGTCTCCACAGTTCCAGACCCCCAGATTCCCTATATATCCACAGTTTCAATCTCCAGTGCCAAATTCGCTAGGACCTCCACAGTACCCAACCGTCAAATTACCACGTATCGAATTACCACGCGTCGAATTACCATGAGTTGGATTACCACGCGTCGAATTACTACGCATCGAATTACCACGCATCGAATTACTACGCATCGAA